TGTCACACCGCAAAAAGTCATAAATAGGATGCGTTCGAGGTTTTTATTCCACTTCAACATATTTCTTATATCGGAGCGGAGAACTCTAATAAATCCCCATATAAATATGCGTGGTATTTTCTTAAAGGTTAGAAAATCTGAAAGAAGTGCATAGACAACATCAACAAGAACAGGAGTGTTTAGAGCAAGAATTACAGCAAGCCTTGAAAGAATTGGACGTGGGTAATATTCGTACACCGCATTTTGCACAACGCTTCAGATATTACCAAGAGTTGCGTGGGTATGTCACTGACTTGGTAGAGTGTCTTGATGAGAAGGTGGGTTGATACGCTGTCACGTTTGATTTATGTGCACTGGGATGATCGTACAATATGTGGCTGGCAGGGATTTTCCGGCCATCAATCTTATTTGAAAAATTTATCTCGTTGAATTGTCTTGCTACTCGCACTGTACGAAATGTACAAAAACCAAATATTGGCTGAGTCGTTTGTTGAATTATTTGATCATACATTATGAAATTTCAATTATAACATTGTATACACTTCTCCTGATAAATTTCAAATGTCGTGGATTACGTGGTTGTAAACTACACACAAGTTGAAGAAAAAAATACACTATTTAAAAGTTGAAGAAATACACATTTGCTTGTAGTGTCTCTCTTTTAACTTCATTCAGCTTTGGACGCAGCTGAGAGATTTGATTAACATTTGCTGCAATGATTTCAAGCGTTTGCTGACACGATCTTTCTCAATTAATCTCCATGAGTGTTTCTAGACGAAATGAAAGAATATATAAATCTCTCGAATAACATATTCGTTAGTGAGTTCGAGCGTTTGTAGAATGAAGGGGAGTTATGTATACATGCAGTATGTATATATCTCCATTGCCGGGGGTCATTATCTTCTCTGTATAATACACTTTATAAAGATACGTATACATATATGTACATAATATAAATGTAATTCATTATGTGTATACGATTAATACAAATTAATTTGATTGTGATGTGGTAAGTAATGTCTATTTATCTCATTAATGTCTAAACAATGTTTTCATGTATATTGAAGAGTCCTCTGAGTAATTTATGAAGTCGCTAATCGAAACGAGCCGATGCTCTTTGAGAATGATGTATTATGTCACAAAGTGCAATCGAATTAAACATCGTCAATTTTGAATAACAGAATAAGCTCGTTGAATCTACTTAAATATATAATTTTTTTTGTTAGCTTCCCCTGGTTATCAAATTGGAGCAACGCTGGTTAGATCTGTATGGCGAACGTTCAACCGAATTGATGGAACGAAGGCGGCAAGACACAAGAGATCAAGCTGAAGAAATAACTACCGCATCAAGTAAGTTTTTCACGTTAATTAGCACATATAATGTTTTTGAACAAAATTCAATATTTGTTAACAATTATCTTCTGAAATTTCTCACGCCCCTTGGTCGAAATTTCGTAACGCAAATTTTACAATACTCTGTACTCTTTTAGGAGGTCAAGGCGTGAGAAGAGGACCGGAAGTAGAAGCTCATGGACGACGAGCTACGGAGAGGGAAGGTAGGAGGGCCCGTCGTAGGAGAGCGAGAGAATTGGCCTCAACCTTGCCGAAACATATCGATGGCATGTCCAGCGACGATGAAGTCACCGAACAACAAAATCTTGCGTTTAAGCAAGCAAAAGGTAGCAGACGATTTTAGTGTCTTGATCAAATTTTTTACTCACGATTTTGTACGTACGTTAATGATTGTACAATATCTTTTCATTTTGTTACAGATGAAATTGATGATGATTGCAAAGATATATTTTCCGATGTGTTGGATGAGTATTGTACAGTGCGCGGTATACTTTCAAAGCTCGAATCGTGGAGAGAAACGGATATGGATGCTTACACGGAAGCCTATGCGTCGTTATGCATACCCAAGATGATTTCACCGATCATTAGATTACAATTGGTTACTTGGAATCCAATTATGGTACTTTTTTCTCGTCAACACCTTTAAATTAATTAAATAAGTGAAATTTAATAAAGTATCAATAAACTAATATTAAACTATATTCATATAGGAAAGCGCCGACATCGAAAGGACGAAGTGGTACAACACGTTGCTTCTATACGCGTTAGATAGTAAAGAAACGGAGGAATCATTAAAACGAGATCCAGACGTTAGATTAGTACCATCTACAATTGAAAAAATCGTCATTCCAAAATTGACATGTAAGAACAATGTGTCTCATATTAATAATATATAATATTATTAAATATGAGTAATATTCTAATTTATAATAACATTGAAACATCTTATATAATACGAGGTCTGTTCGGAAAGTATTTGGCAATATCTCTGTGCCTGGGTCTACTATTATAAGCGTTCTCCTTCTGAGGGGAGCCGAGCGGCTTTTTAGTCGACATCAGGTGATGTGAGAGTTGTGAGTGACGCATTTCTGCACCGAGCGTGTCGAATTTGTATAAAATTTTGCCAAAAACTTGGACATTTGTGTGTGGAAACGGTCGATTCGTAAGGCTTATGGGGATGAATCTTAGAGTGAAATACAAATTAAGACACTGGAAGAAGGCGTGTCGAAGCAACATTAAAACAATGTTTCCTTCAACAAGTGAAGAAGGTATTGTTCACCATGAATATGTTTCAAGAAGTCAGACGGTGAACAAGAAGTACTATCTAGAAGTTCTGAAGAGATCGATAGATGCAGTGAGAAGAAAACGGCCTCATTAGTGGCAAAGCGGTGGCTGCTTCATCGGTTTTCACATCTCATCGTATCCAGAATTTTTTTTTATAACAAATCTGCCTGCAGTCTTGATACAGCTCCATGTGACTTCTGCGCCGAAATTGAAGTCGAAAGGAAAGAGATTTGTGGAAGAGATGAAAGAAAATGTGACGAGGCAGTTGCGGGCTATTCCAAAAGCTGAATTGAAAAAATTGCTTCAGGAAATGGAAGTAGCGCTGGAAGAAGGTTTCTAAAAGAGAATACTTTGAAGGGGACGTAATCGCCATTGATCCAGAGTTGAGCTCTTTCCCTTTATATATAGCGTAAGATCGGATACTTTCTGGGCAGACCTCGTATATTAATAATTATCCCTCACATATGCAAAAGGTGCGTTCGGGGAGCGCATCATCAATCAACGCCAACGAGTTATTCTATCCTTGTCTCTAATGTGGGACGAAGGTAAAATTACGCGTTAGCGCTGATAGAGCGCTCCCCGAACGCAGTAAAAAATAAGAAAAAATAATTTTATATATTTAATATTTTGATGTTTAGCTATTATCGAAAAGATATGGGATCCAATGTCAACATCCCAAACGTTACGTCTTGTGGGTACTATAAATCGGCTGGTCAAGGAATATCCAAATTTAAATGACACGAGCAAACAATTGGAGTCGTTGTTTAATGCAATTTTGGATAAGATTAAAACTGCTGTTGAAAACGATGTATTCATACCAATCTTCCCGAAACAGTATGTATAAAACCAAGTTTTAACAAATTTATATATTCCCTTGTTGTCTTCGGCTCATAATTTAACATTTTAGAGTTTGGGATACGAAGCATCAATTTTTCCAAAGGCAATTCGCAATGGCCGTCAAGTTGCTACGAAATTTACTAAGCTGGCAAGGTCTACTCGGAGATATGCAGTTGAAAAATTTAGCATTAGGTTCACTTTTGAATCGTTATCTGCTGGCCGGATTAAGAGTTTCTTCGCCAACCGACGCTTTGGTCAAAGCAAACATGGTACGACGATCAGCTTTAATAGTGATATATTAAATCGACAGAGGTTTATTACTAGTAGATGCTTTGAATTAATGAACAAACTGCTCACAGGTCGTGAGCACGCTACCAAGAGCATGGTTACAGGGCGAAACTATCGAACATCTCAAAATGTTCGCCTCTCTTATTCAACAACTTAGTGAACAATTGGATCAAGCAAATCCTACACACAAGTAAGTGTTAATGTTAGCGGCACATTCTGCCACTTTGTAAATGAATGAAATCGATGAAAACAACCAAACTGATATGTTACAGTGAAGCCTGGGAATACGCCAAGTCCATCCTGAAAATAATTAAGCCTTTATAATCATTTGATAATATACGTATGTTTCAATGATATTTTGTCAAATTTCTTGTTTTAGTATTAATATGCTTATCAATAGTTTTATACATATAATGCGCGCAACAACATTCTGATGTATGCATGTATCATCATGCATTATCATAAATCGACAGATGTATAATATATACATCTATAAAATACAACTTTTGTATAGTGATAAACTAAATAAGACAACCGACGATAAAACACACGCTCCAAATATAGTTGTACATAATGCATAACTGGAAAATAAACCTGTACATAATGCAACTTTAGAGTTTTGTTTTCGACAGACTGTTAAAATGATCAAAGGTCCCGTTATTTTATATCCTTACCATGATATAACGGTAAAATGATGCTGCTAAAAAGTAAAAGCAAGAGATGTTTATGTATGTTTTTAAGGCGCTCTTTGCAAAATTTATCGTCACTTGTATAATACAAGTAACAGTTACAGTAGTAATATAATTACAAGTCTTTTGCATAATGGAGAACCATAGGAATAGAGAATAACACAGGCAATAAATTTTCAACCTATTGGAAACCAATATGCACAGCAATTGGTTTCCCATAGGTTGGAAATCTGGTGTTATTCTCTGTTCCTGTGGTTTTCCATTGTGCAAAGGACTTTACGTACATCAGGAAGTGTTTCTTGTTACTATGCAATTTAAAAATTTATTCACACGCCTCGGTGTACAACAAACATTATATGTATGTGTTTTAAATGCTTGTGAGGAAAAGGGTACGATAATAAGGGTAACGATAATATAATATACACGTGATCCATATGATTGAAGATAATGCGTCAAGAGAAATTTATGTCGTGTATGTGTACGAACCTCTACGTGTATATTTGTGTAGGTCACAGTGATAAGAAAGGGTCATTCTTTGACTTGCGTGAACTCAGTACTCTTTCGTCGAACTACGATCGCACACGATCATGGGTTTCACAGGTATAAATTGCACGTTATATTACAATATTAAAAAATAATAGTCTTGAAAAGATAACGCTTTACCGGAATTGTCACAAACGGTAGATTTATCGCTAAATATTAATAATACATTACCTATAGCTGAAGGAAAATGCCGGTCTTTTCGTATCTTACATATTTGAAACGTTTTGTTGCAAAACTTTCTATTCATTTAGCTGATTAATGAAAATATATCGAAATTGATGTATAAGCGAAAATTACAGAGAAAAATGCGAACGTTTTATCGGTTCAAATATAAACAAAAAATGACACCAAAAAATTTCATTTTTGCAGAATTTAATTTTATATTCAGACTTATGCAGGCAATAGGAAGATTGCTATTTGTATTGCTACTCTCAAATACTGAACATGTCGCGCAAAGTTTATTCAGATCCGGAAAAGAATACGTGTATTCCTACAATGCTATGTCAAGTACCGGTGTATTAGTGCCGTCCAATGCAGCTGCTTCGTGGAGCCTCAATGGAAAACTTGTAATTCAGGCGGAAGATAATTTTGTTACTGTGCAGGTATTTCTAAAATAAATACAAATTCACTTTTTTGTTTTTTTTTTCCTAGTAGAATACTAGAAGTGCTATTCTAGTAGGATTTTCTATAAAAATCATAATTTGGTAAAGTAAATTTATTGCATTATAATTTGATATAATATTCCATGTATCAGTTGCAATCGTTGAAAACGAGTATGTGGAATGGAAATGTTGAAGAGATGGGTGAAGACGTCGATATCTACGACGATGCTTTGCAGCTCTTGAAACCTTTCCAATTGTCATACAACAAAGGCCTTATCGAGAATTTTAGCATCGAAACTGATGTGCCTGCGTGGGCAACGAATATAAAACGGAGTATAGCCGGAATTTTACAATTGGACCTTCTCAATTTGGAAAAGGAAGTCGCATTTCATTCTAGCGAAGTAAGTTATGAGCTAATTTTTCAAAATGCGTGCATGAACTGCGTGTATTGCTTGGATTATATTTTTCAATTAAAATACTGGTCAATATATAACGTTTATGACACATATATATATATATATATATATATATATATATGCTTGATAGAAATTGTAATTTGCAGATAAATCATTACGGCAAATGTAATATTGATTACATTGTGAGTCCCGAAGGAGAGAATCAACGTTTGATAAGAAAGTCGCTAGATCCTCGGATATGTATCGGTCATCCGAATCGTTATTGGTCGAACGTTCCTAAAGTACAATGTACCGACGAGGATCAAGTATGTTATTGATGTATCCTGTTGATTTGATTAATATTTATCAAATTATATTATCATCTTTTTAGAATCCTGTTCTAAAGAGCAGCGAAAGAGTGTACAGGTTGAGGACCGATGGGCACGCCCATGATATCATTTCTGTTAACGCGTCTGGAGGTATCTACGTACAACCCTTTCAAAGCATGGGAGAAGCACACTACCATTTTGTTCAGTACGTTTCGTCTGACAAGCATGTTAAAACCTTCATCATAAGAACAAAATATCCAAGTTAGCGTACCAAAAAATGAATGTTAATTATTAACATTGACACGACTAATATGTTCTCGACGCATGGCAATAAGATATCATTTTTATCTCTTAGGCAAACCATTGAATTATTCTCAGTAAAGAATATAACGGACAAAATAATGACGAATAAATTACGATTCGCGGTACTTCAACACGAGCTACCAGAAGAAGATCTCACACAGGGTAGAGGTACTCCTGACAAGAGTTTTGTCTTTAAATCTGTAAGTCCATCGTTTTTTCTTGATATAGTAATTGTCCGTTTCATTTGAATTTTTATTATTTTACAGATAAGTCGCTTACTAGACCGTTTAAGTCAGAGGCTTGAAAATCCTGGCTTGGACACTGAAATCCCCAATTTACACAACACAACGATATCCGTACTTCTCTATTATCTCGGTATGCTAGATCGTGTTGATTTAGGAAAGGCGTACAATCGAATTTTAGGGACTAGTTACAAGGAAGAGACGACACGGTATTCATACCAATTTCCATCTCTCTCTCTCTCTCTCTCTCTCTCTCTTTCTCAGAACAAACTGTCATTTATCTTTGCATTTATTATAATTAATACAATAGGAATATGTTTCTCGAGGCGTTGCCACAAGTCGGAAGTAAAGAGTCCGTGCTTTTTATATTGGATCTCATTCAAACCAACAAGGTGCCCGACATATCCGCGATTCAACTTCTTATGCAGCTGCCGTTCCATATCAGAAAACCAGATGTCCAATTGCTGGTTAGTTTGCAGCCACTCCTTTCTCTGTCAAGCAAAATTCCCGGGGAAGTGCAAAATACCGCAATCCTTACATATGGCACACTGATATACAAGACATGTTTGGTGTACTGTCCGTATGAGATGTTGGACGATTACGTGCGTCTGTATCTTGACAAATTTACAGGTATACGATGATTTTTATTAATCTCATCTAGGGATATCATATTCGAAGCTTCGAAACTTCAGTATAAATCGACGATAAAATTCGAATTATTCCATTCAAATTCGAAATATGGAAGCTGTTAATAGATTTTGGAAAGTGCAACAAAATGCTATGCAATTGGAGAATATCAATTTAACCCGTACAATATTAAAACATTCCAAGACGTCGTAAAGACGTCCTTTAGACAATACCCAGACGTCAATATTTATTAAATATTTTAAAAATATAGATATTTTGTAAATATCCGGAGAAAGTCAGATAAAGATTATGATAAGTGTTGAAAAATACTTATGACAAATATTTTTCATAAATAATTAAAAGATGGCTTAGACATTGGTATAGACATACATTTGGATAAGTATCCTTGGTTCAATTCTGACATTTTTATTTATTTAAGATAAAGTGAGTGAAAAAAAGTAGTAAACAACAAATCTCATTAACTGTATCGTAAAATAAATGCAAATCTTGCTATGATATGTAACAGCATGATGCGAGAAAAAATTATATTCTTTGGGACAATAAATATTATTTATTATATTTATTATTAAAAACATTGTACCGATATTTTTCAGCTCTTGAAATTTCGAATATTCACACTTGCATCATTCGAATATAATGTGAAAGTTACGAAACTCGAAGCTTCTAGTACAACTTCTATAGCCTTCTAATCTCGATGTATCAATATATATTGTTCACTTTATATCGTTTGGATAGAGAAGTCAATTATTTGTTGACAGAAGCTACACAGTACGAACAGAAGATGATCTGGCTGGAGGGCTTGGCAAACATACAGTTGGGCAGGGTTGTGGAATTTTTAGAGCCTATAGCTAGCGGTGGCAACGCCGAATCGCGACATTTCCGTGTACTTGCGGCTTGGGCTTCTCTTCCCACAGCGCCATTGAGGCCCGACGTTGTGAGCAATTCACGTGCTTTTAATTGAAAAAAAAAAAGAACGACCAGAATTATATAATTCACGTGATTATTTGCCGCAGATTTATCCTGTGTACTGGCCAATCTTAGTCAACAGAACCGAACACTTGGAGATGAGAGCAGCTGCGCTGACTTTGCTGGTTGTTTCCAGCCCTACACCTAACAGATTGATATCTCTGTATTGGTACATGCAAAGCGAGCCTTGTCAACACTTGTACAATTATTTTTACACGATGTTAAAGTCTGCGGAACGCAGCACATGTCCCTGCTACAAGCCTATGTAAGCACATACACAGCAACGGTATACAAGAAATAACATAGATTCGTGTGAGATTGAATATATCATTCTACTCGTTGTAACTATCGTTATATAAATTTTCAGAGGCAGAATCGCGGGCCAGTTTGGTCGTTTGCTCCGGAAACCGTTGAATAGTAAATATCTCGTTACCGGTAACTATCTGGTTGACTACCAAGATTCCTTGAGGAGATTCGGTGCTATGTTGCACGGCATTATCATAGCTAACCCATCGACAAATATTCCCGAAGTACTTTACGTGACTTTAAATAATTACGGCAGTGGGACGCATGTCAATCATGTATCCGTGAGTAGTACACGTTCTCCAAGCAGCTATACTCATAAAACTTTTCCAATTGTTGTATGTCGTCCGCTTCGCATATTGTTTTGAAAACGTCCTCAAAAGGATGGGGAAATATTTAATTTTGAAATGTAAGGCGCCGAATCTAATGTTTGATTGCTAAATTCTTCTTCAATTCTAGTTATATGTCAAGGCGGAAGGTATTTTCCACACGTTAGCGACTTCTTTCGACAATCCGACAAACATAAGGGATGTTTTGAAAGAGTTCAAATTGGACGAAAGAAGGAAGGGCCCCGTGCATTTGGAAGTGATTACGCGTATACAAGAGAAAACGGTCTTGTGCATTCATTTAAACGAGTCAAGTATCATTAACGGATTGAAGTGTAAGTTTGTAATTTGAGATACGTGTTGATTGAAGTGTAAGTTTGTAATTTGAGATACGTGTGAAAATTTGAGATACGGATTGAAATGTAAGTTTGTAATTTGAGATACGTGTGATTACCATGATTACTGATACCTTATTGTATAATCTTCCAGATTTGTCTTCTTTAGCGGATAACATATATCATATGTATCATAACATGGAGTTTCATGTCAATCAACAACGTATAAATGTGCCCTTGACAATAGAATCGCTGCAAGTGACCGATTTCGGTACTAACGTTAGACTCGCGATGATGGCTACGTCTTTTTTCTCAATGAGGGGGAATTTTACGCGCAATTTCCTGGAACGAAATAATCATGCTATTTTACGGTAAAAATCTTCACAGGGTGTCTCAGAACCGCTATGTATATTTCTAACAGATTCTTCGGGATATTCAAGGACGAAAATTCAACAATGGTGAAGCTACAATAATTCTTAAGTAAGCGATCAAAGTTTATGTAATCGTACAGCTGAGCGCCTTCCCGCGCTCGCAATGGTATGGACTGTCAACGGATTCTTTCGACAATTCCAAAAATAGATTATACACCAAATAAATATTGCTCGCATAACATAATAATCTGCGGGAAATTTGTGGTCAAAATTTATATTCCTCTTACGCGTAAGACGATTTCCAGATCGTAAAGCACAAAAAAATCCAAGTTACCCATTTCTCTTGGTGAAAATTATATTTGCAAAAAAATTTTCAAAAAAAATCTCTTCATCGTGACAGCATTCTTGTCCGTGTTGTTGTCATACTAAATCGCGGGAAATGTCAATCGTACGATTAGTTAACTTTGTTTATAATAACTAAGAAATATCGTAATCTCGCCGTTTTCGTACTTGAATGTCCCGAAGAATTTGTTATGCTATAATAGAAATCGTTTTTATTTGTTCTTAATAACAGAAGTATCATCGCTTTATATATATTATAATGTATTCGATATTATTTTAGCACATCTGTTCACGGCATTGAGACGATAGAAAATTACAATCCGTTAGTTGATTTGTGGCATAGCGCTCAAAGGGTTCACTCGCTACACGGATATCTTCCTCTTAACATTACGACCGGATTCGAAGAACGCCTATTTATTTCGTACAACATTCCAGGAGGTAATATCGATTCCGTAGGACTCGTTCACTACATTCACTGGTCGCTATTGCTCAACTACATTCGAATGATACTTGCGAAATTTATGATACTTTACGCGCGGAAAACAAAAGCAAGTTTTATTTTCACACAAAATTATATATTCTCGCTTATATACGAGAACATGAGTCTTGAATTGATATTAATTTTTCTTCCGTGTGCCGTTTCTAGATTTAACGAACGATCAAGTTTTTTACCAGGTATCATACCGTGTCATAATGCCCTTTTCGTTGTAGAAAATCTCAGGACAGGAATTACAACGCATGCTAGAACACTCACTAGCATCAGAGGCGCCAATGTGAAATCAAAATTGGAACGGGCTTGTCATTCGTGTCCGATATCGTATACAGTAAGAAAATCGCCTCTCTCCAACATACAGGTATAAATGTTGCCTCGAAATGATCTCTGCTACTATTAAATACTCGTGTTTGATATAATTTACTTTCTTCTTTTTTTTCCTATTTACCCTATAGACGGTGAATGCTTTTAATATCAAACTTCCCGAATTAGGTGGTCAGATGCAGGTGGAGGTATTCGATTGTGAAAGCGCGGTGTCATACGAAACTCTGATTAACGAAATTTGGTCTTCTCATCGAAGCAATTATCAGTAAGCGACATATCATTTATATTAATGCCTGCTAATTTGCCGAGCATTGGGAAACACCTGTCGAATAATTTATTTTCTCAAACAATTTTGTAGAACATGGCCGAGCATGCAATTTGCCTTAATCGGGTTACATTTTTTGGACTATCTCACCTACATGCCACCAAAAGGCAGTTGTGGACTGGCTGTTTACATCGAGGCACTCGATTCGCGACCATCGCAGGTTAGATTATCATGTACAAGGTAGTTTGAAAGGCCAATTACCTCCGAAATCATTGGTTTTGTGGAAAAAAAAAAGGTTTAAGACAAAACTTGCGGCAGGTTATCTCTTCTGGTTCCTTTTGAATTAAAGATCCGAGCTGGATATTGTCATAAATGTTTTGAAAAGGTCTCGATGTCAGTTATCAAAATCTATAATAAAATGCGAGGGTACCCATTTCAGGGTTTTCTTTTTTCTTTTTAATCATCTTGACAAGTCATTCTAAGATCAGTTTCAAGATATACTGCCATCTAGTATAATTTCCTCATCATTATAAGTTTTGCCTCAAACATTTTTCCAGAAAACCAATGATTTCGAAGATAATTGGCCGGACTTTGAAATCCACTTGTATATCTGAGCCATAAATTTAGAAGAAACATAAAAATGTATCAAAGGATTTTGCTTTTACGGGGCTATGTGTGTGCAAGATAAAAAACGAAATTAGTAGGCACACACATTTCTTATAAACATAAGATAATTGACAACATTTATACGTTACATCAAATGCTTCTTACTAGACGAGATTGGAATACACGAAACACGGAAGCTATCATATGTTATCTTTGACGCATCGCAACTTGGAGTCTTCGCGAATTCTTCATCAGTGGAATCTGGCTGCGTTATATGAAAGCATTAGCTGGCTGTCGGATGTCATTAAAATGAAAGCATCGAAGATCGCGCCTAACGAGCCCATATTGAAGGTAAATGTCAAGATTTTACATAAAATCTACGATAAATACAACTGATTGATTTTAGTTCTGCGTAGAGGCCGAGAGGCGCATGCCGTGGCAATGGGAGTTCTTGAGTAATGAACCGAGCGATCTGTCTCGCATTAAATTAAATATCGTCTGGGGACCGTCCGACACTGCGAAAGGAAGGTGCAGTGGATCCTCCGTAACAATGAACTTGGTTGGCGAAGTCAGCCGCGAGCAGATTGAAGAGAGCAGAAAGATGAACGGACCTTACGGTGAATGCAAAAAGGAGTCCGAGGGCAAGAATTTTGTTCCTTATACGAATTCTTGTTACGAGGTGTCCCGAGAATTGTCGACGTTGCGGAAATATAAGATCGTTGCGCACTACGAAAACGTGAGTTTGAGAATTCTACAATAACAAACCTCATATACAGAATATACTGATAGTATTCAAAACGACACAGTTACCAGAGAGCCTGTCAAAGTTAATTTGGAGAATGCACGCCTTGTACGATTTGCTCGGTGGAAACAGCAGCAATGCAAGGAACTCCGATGAACTTGTAGCGACCGCAGTTTTCCCAAAAGAATCTAACGTGGGCGAGCTGCAACTTAACGGGGATAAAATTGCGATCGAATATAACTCGCATTACATCGATCTTTTCCTGACACGAACAAGAATCCACAAGTATATGGAAATACCTTTATTCAGAATGTTCTCTAGTACGTGTAATGTTTTTTTCTCTATTAATAACATAATATTATTATAATTAATTATTATAATATTATCGTATCCCATAATTCTGAATTGAAAATGTCACATATCACTGCTTCTGAGTCTTACTAGTCCAACTTCAATGCATATAATAATTACTTAACCATAACTCAAGTGTTTGTATTACCTAACGTTTATATTTTAGGCACGTGCATCATAACATCGGATTCAATAAGAACAGCATACGATATGACCTATACCTTCGTTGAAAATAGCGAAGTGATATTACTCGGACAATGTTACGACGAGAACCCCAGACTAGCGTTAACCGCAAACAATGGTATGTACGGAATTAGCATCAATTTAACTGACGAATCAGGAACCACACGAATCACAGCCGGCAAGGATAGGGGGACCCTATATAATGCCACGTCGTTCATACAACTGCAATCTGATTATGTATTTCATACAATGGGAACTAAAAAGTAAGTGGAGGGAAGTCGTTCGGTATTAAGTAAAGAGAATTTGAAACAAGAGTGAAATCAGTCTACAATTTAATATAAAGTCCTCTTTGGATGCAATCTTGTGATAAAATCACTTTTCGAAACAACAATAATTTGTCACTTCTCTGTAGGATCAAGAGAGGTGACGAGATGATCGATATCGTGCTACCCAATATCTTCCTATACATGCATTGGACGCGAGAGCAAATTCTACTTTTCTTCCCCAACCATATGCTAGACTTCAGCTGTGGAATATGCACGCTTAGTAACCCCAACATCGACAGATTATACGAAAAGCTCTAATTCTGCAGAATATGTATGTACGATATATTCATATATATGTATGTATGATACGATGCGATAATGATGTTCACAAATCATTTGTAGAAAATAGAATAGGTATTAGAATATTGCAACTAACGACAAAATAATAGTTTCGTGTATTGTTCTTAATATCTCTATCTGATGAACAATAAGACATATATCTATGTAATTGTGTACGTGTTATGTTAACATTCGGATTTTCGATCGTATCAAAATTAGTTAATCGATCGATGGAACTTCTTTAACCTCTATGTCAAAACATTTTATTTTCCGAGCCGGTAAATATTAAATGTCAATGAGTAATATGCTAAATAATACAATCCAAGCTGTACGGTTAATTATATTTATACATTTCGTCTTTTTTTTTTACACATAAACTACAAATCTCAACGAACAATAAAACAAAGTTATTTTGTCATGTTATTTTTTAAATGATTGAATCTTCAGGGATATTCGATATCTTTGTTTATCAAAAAATAAGGAATTTAAGAACTGTAAATAGACACGCACAAATACACATAAATATATATATGCAAAACAGTATATAGCTTATTTATTCAAATTTTTATGCAAGTTTATAAATAATTTGTACTACATCATAAATATATCACGTACACTTTAAATAAACAGCATTAATATTTATTATAAATGTAATCATGCTTCTTTCTGTAACAATGTTTGTATTCTCTCATTGTACAAAAAAAATATGCTTTCTTTTTATTTCACTCGAGGTAAATTCACGTATTAAATAATAATGTATCAAGATTATTTTAAATTATATCACACATAATATTTCCTCATAAACATTATTGACATTTGTAAAATAAAGTATGCAGAGGCTTTTATCTCTAGACACAATTAATTATCATTCTCTAATCTATATTTATTTTCCAGACACGTGTCTAAATGTTGATTCATGAAACTTTCTGGTATCATCTGCATACATACTGGACAGGGATGTTTTGTTTCAATAGAGTCGTTTCCTGCAGCAGACGTATCATCTTCATCATTTATTACGAATTTGTCATCAAAAACAGCTCCTATGCATTCGTCTAGGTGTTCACTTAATGATACTCCAGGTGCAATCTGTGCGTTGCAAACTAAACATTGCTGCTCGCGATTCGTCGCGTTGCTTTCATTCGCACTAACATCGATGCAAGATTTTGGATATTCGATGACGGAATTATCCAAGTCGGAATTAGAACTGCTTATGCTGATTATGCTGTCATTTGATGCCTGAGAAGTTGAAAGAATGCAAGTTTTATGAACTGAATCGTTTTCTAAAAGACATTCGTCAAGATGCTGATTAATATCTGCTGCTGGAACCATTTTGTTACAAACGGGGCAGCTCACGTATTTAGTGTCACTTGAATCGTCTAACTTCACACGCTTGTTAGAATCTGTATTGGCGGTTGTGAAGAATATTCGAATAGGCGATGCTAACTTTTCATTGCTACTATTATTAAGCTTATTGATCAATGGTCCAGATTTTCTGTCAAATTTACCATCTGTCCTTTTTCTTATTTGATTCATTGGTTGATTTAAATTTGAAAATGGTTTATTAGCAGGCTTCTTTTCCGCAGCTGATGGTGACTTTGATGATAAATCTTTCTTCGTTAATTCATTTGGGCCATTTTTACTTATATGCAAAAATTTTCTCAAGAGGTTGCTCTGGCCACTGTTACTACCTCCTAAAGTACCGGAGTAAGCGAACGTGGGACTTTTTGAAGCAATATTTTTTGTGTTACTTTCTACTTTTCCACTCGGACCACCAATATTCCAGCCATGTACATTATTGCTAGTGTTGCCGAGCTTTTTCATTCCCGAGTCATTTTTCTCGACTCGAATGCCAGGCGAGTTTGTCATATCTTTATTGTTAATAGTTTTATTTCTGTTTGTTTGGATAAATGTTCTATTGTTATTAGTAAATACTTTCGAATATGCAGGCTTAGCTTTTGCTGGAGTATTCTTTGTCAACCAATCAGAAATGTTTTTGTCTGATTTGTTATTTTGCTTTGACTTAAAATTCTCTGGCTCTTTTATTTTTACAAACTCGCCATTGCAATTTACTTTATGTCTGAGCCACCAGAAGTCTGACGGTCCAGGCGCACGATTCGTAGCTCGTCGCACCATTCCAAAAAATGGTGGTCTGTGCTGGCAAGGTCCGTTACATTTCCACCAATGCTGCTGGTACAATCTCACTTCATCGTGAAAGCTGTGGTATATCTACATTTGCATAATGAATATAATCAAATTATAGATAAAAAATTCAAGGTAAAATCAAGTAAAACTGTCATTATAGATGCACATCTTAAATATTAAAATAAATATTCATTACTGACTGTTATATTAGTTCCTGCTTCTTTATTTATCCTGTGCATATGCTCACAGAAATTTGGTCCATGACCGTCTCGATTGCGATTGTTATTTGTTAAGAACAAGTATGCATGGATCATTTCATGCTGTAATTAAATATATATATGTTGAAATTCTTATATCTATTTGAGAGGAGTGCAATTTCATTTTTATATCTAGATATGTTGAAAGTCTCACCAACAAAGTTTCCACAAGATCTTTCCTAGGTCTAAGTTTGAGCAATGGTGCACTGAGCGAGATCACACATTGCTTATTATTATTATGAAATGTACAAACTCCAGCACAACTAAAATTAAATATTATTTATTACCTTTGTATGCTATGAAAGGTTATATACATACATATGTAAAAAAGTAATATTTACCTTGTCATTCTACTACTCCACTTGACTTCAACAGAACACAAAACGCTCCAGAAAAATCGTATATTGAATTGCACAAATAATGTGTAAATGTTAGGGGTAGGGTCTATTAGTTCTAATGTATGATCGACCAATGTTCTTGGCTTATAATTTTCCTAGAAACAAAAGATTTTCTTGTCCAATTTGTATAAGAAAAATATTGATAAGTATAAGAAGAATATATTTTCTATATTTGATATTCTTGATGATATAATCGAAATTTACATAATTTTTTAGTAATCAATACCTTTTCTGGATGAATTGCATTTTCTGTCACACCTAAACAATTCAACTCTTCGTGGATGTCAAAAGCTACAAGGAAATCTTTCTTTTTCTGCGATGCCATTGTTCTCAACACTTGCTGTGTACTACGAGAGAAACCGTGAAATATTTTATGTAACATTATTCACACACTTTAATATCTCATAAGACGAGAGTAAATAAAGAAGCACATCTTACTTACTTTTACAACGTACTTTTACAACGTACTTGGTATCTGAGATAAACTTTTCTTCCTTTTTACTTATTATTTAACGAACATCTTTTGGAAAACAGAATTATACATATGGAGAATTTATAATTTGAAAATGGTACAAACATATACACATACAGAAAACGACGAGAAAACGAATATAAGTTAAGTTCTTATGTAGCCATTTTATTTAACGTTTAGGCTACGTTCGGAAATACACACTGAGGTTAACGTGGCACTTAATTGACCAATCATGATGTCGAAATCTTTTTGTCCAGATTGGCCAATTGAAGGCCACTCTCCCTTTATCTCCAGTAGTATTTTCGAACGCAACCTTAGCTACACTGTTCTCGAATACGGAATAGAACATTTTTAGAATTTCCCAAAAACAGTTTCGAGATCCCAAGATGGTGTAGAGATTTAAGTGTCGGTCTACAAAATTAGGTATTTTAAGCCATAAAAAGTTGACCAATTACAGTTAATTATTTTCTTCGACTGTGATTGGTCAATTTCTTAAGGCTTAAAATATCTATCGTGGATCGACACTTAGAAATTCTGTATTTAATAAATAATCGGCGCATTTCCGACAAATTTATTTTATAATAAATAAAATGCTCTATGTGTAACACATATGATTTGTATTTCTATATAAGTACTTTTTATACTTTTCGCATTTGAAAACGCACGATAATAGCCAGCAAAACGTTTATTTTGCAACTGTTGGAAGTGTCCTGTGCTAACATTGGATTATTCTTGTAGATCTAAAAAATTAATCCAATCTTAGGTCAGAAAACTTTCAACAGTTGCAAATTAAACGTTCTGCTGTACGTATCCTTTTCACACAAAATACGGAAACGTTTATCGTGTGGTAAGAAATAGCCAATCAACGTGCTACTTTTCCATGAGAACTAAAAGTTTATTAGCTACTGCGTCTACTCGTTTCGTGGTGAGGAAATTATATTTATGAAATGTGGTAACTACCGCCGGTGAATTGTGATAATTGTTTAAAAACATTATTAAACATTGTAGGCCGAAATGGCTAATAGTGGTTGTATTAATATATATTAAGAAAACATCGGTTTCATGACAAAAGTCCGAATCAGTATCTGAATGGGTATTTTATTCCAAAGTAAGGTTATAGAAATATCATAAACGACTTGATTACAGAATTACAGGATTTTATAATTGCTGTGTGATAGGGTTTTAATCTATCTGTATATAAGAGACAATTATGGTACGATATTTCCTTAGATTTTCGTACATTGGTACACAATACAGGTATATAATGTCAAATATTAATATTTTACTCAGCATACATTTTTTATGCACTTATTCTTTTTATCTTCTGTTTTTATTACATAACGTTACTGACGTAAAGAGGTGTGCAGAAGCAAGTTTCTTCACCATACGTACGGGATACCGACACCATACAAGGTGCTTTAGAAGCTGCTTTGCTAACCATCGTGCCAAAACCTATAATTAGACCAAGTATAATACTTTCCAGCAGGTAGCTTTTTCTATCTTTTATGTTACTTTTGTGTAATTTCAATATTCTTTAGATATTTTACATCTTTAATATAACTGCAATACTTAATACATCTAGGATATGCGGTATATCTTATTGATAAAGGAAATTGATATTCTGTTTGATATACTAAAACTGAGATGAATATGCTACTTCATTATGACTTGATAAATACCAACCAACAGTGACATAACATTGTTAACAATATTGTAATTTTGCACACAACAATGCAATATAACATGTTTGTTACATAACATTGTTGAGTGGGAAATTTATAATATTGATATTACTGATGCTTGGTGTGTTTACCGGATATTATGTAATTTCTTACATTGGACATTTGGTAAATATCGATGATAGAGAATTGTTTTCCCAAATATTAATAACATTTCTCGCAACGGTTGAATTCATTAGTTTAGAATTAGAAAGAAATAAAAAAATTGAAGTTTTTTAAGTAAATTTGTGATATGAATTTAACAGATTATTCTTAGAAATTTTGCAATACATAAATTTGCAGAACAGATGCTGGAGTCCATGCTTTATGCAACACTGGTCATGTAGAGCTTCAAAATAAATATAACGTTTTATATAAGACAGATGAAATAAACAGATTCGTTAATAATTACTTCAATAAATGCGGTCATACTATTAGGTAACTATTTTTAGAGACATTCAATCTAATATTATTACATATATTTTAACATATCTGTTATTTGATATATTGGTTAAAACTATATTTTAGGTTACTGGAATGTACACCTGTCACGAATGACTTTCATGCAAGATTCTCGTGTAAATCCCGAACTTATATATATAGATTTATGATACCTAAAGTACCTGATGAGCAAAGATTATCCCTGGTAGATACACAACATACTTACTTTATAAGGTAATTATTAAGAAGGTAAAGTACTAAGAGCCAAAAAATATTATTTTATTATAGTATGTATATATATATGTGTGTCTTTTAGAGAATCCAATTTCGACATAGATAGAGTCAAACATGGCACAGAATTGTTTATGGGAATAAAAGATTTTACTACATTTACTCCTCCACCTAAAACAAATAAAGAAATGGTATACGTACGTTCCTTGCATATCTTTGCCTTGGAAGAGGCACAAACTTTAATACCTTTTGATCCGCTGTCCGAAAATTTTAGATATTTTCATTTTGTGTGTAAGGCGAAATCCTTCTTGTATAATCAGGTAATTAGGTCTTTATAAGAAATGTCTTAATAAAAATGCATAAAAATATGTTAAAAAATGTATATTAAGTACTAAGTAAATATATAGTTCTTGGTAAGAACACTAAGAATATTTCTTATTGTTGTTATTTCATATAGATCAGGCGAATGGTCGGTGCTTTGATTGCTTTAGGACGGAGAAAAATAACAGAAAAAGATATCACTGTTATGTTACAAGTTCCTTCGCATAATAATTGGGATCCACGTATTACTCCTGCACTAGCAAGTGGTTTACATCTTGTGAATTTAGAATATGATCAGGAGGAACTAAGTCGTTGTACCATATTGGATGATCAGAAAGTACAGTCGGAAGGCCTGCCGTCAGAGGAGCAAGAACTGCAATTGGAAGAACAAAAGCAAGAACTAGCAAAATAAAGAAAAGAAAAAAAATAACAATTTATAGAATTATCAATATTGGAATAATTGAGAAATAATATTTAATTTTTTATATAATGATAACGTGAGTGTGTTATTAGTTTGGAACAATGTTATACAGCGACATGCAAGTGGAAGCTACTATATTGTTTCAGGTGCAAATATATTTTAAAAGAAAATAATCATCGATCTTGGCACAATGGATTTACAGGAACTTATCGCAAAAAAGAGATCGTCATTGAGGTCTTGCAAAACTGTGGTAACAGATTCACTTGGCAATAAATGTGAGATTGAACACGGTCGAGTGAAAAAATTAGAAAGAGGAATGCCTTTTGTAATAGATGAGAAACCTGATTTACATGTGGCCAGTATAGTACCGGGATTATATCTCAGCTCGCAAGATCCAGCTGTGTGCAGTGATATATTAAAGAGATACAAAATAGGACACATTTTGAGTATAGGTGTTAACATTTCTGAAAAATTTGATGATATTCGGTATTATAACTGTGATTTGTTAGACTTACCGGAATCGAATATAATGCCATCAATAAAGAAATGTGTTGATATTATACATGCGAATCGTAAAGAAAATATTCTTGTACATTGCAATGCTGGCGTTTCTCGGTCTCCTGCAATTATCATCGCTTATTTAATGACTATGATGGAACTGTCATACAACGAGGCTTATGATATAGTAAAAATAGCAAGAAGTTGTATTAAACCTAATGATGGATTCGTAAAACAATTGTTAAAAATGCATCTTTCGGTGAGTTATCATAATATATCTGAAACGTGACAACCCCGGAAAAAATTTTCCACATAATTAGATTATAATTATATATGACGTCATATGTAGAACATGTATGTGTCTATTTTCTATATATCTATATATCTATATCTATATATATAAATATATAATTTATATATGAAGTGGAGATACAATTACATGTGATTATATATATTTATACCGGAAAATTATTTATATACCATATTTTTCGCCGATAAATTACTATCTTTTCATCTTATTTCACTTGAGGCAAGATGGAAAGGACAAAGAAGGTAACACGCGTTTGATTAAATAGAGCGGATAAATGGATCAATGATGTAATATATTGTTACAATAGAATCCACGTATTATAACATTATTATTTACTTATGTGTACAGAGAATATTGTTTTATATAATTACAATATATCTTATTATGTTGTAACTCATTAGAAAATTATATTCATGCACAGCATCTATCAAATTCTTAGCCAAAACTAAGCATATTAAAATTTACTAATTCTGGCTCTCTTACATTTATCATGCATTGGAGATGACACATAGGTCGCCGTACCAAGTAGATTTATAAAAATTACTGTAAATCTAAAAAATATAAGTGAATTTCTGTATACATGATAATCTCCTATTATTTAATCCGCAATATAGTGTATCATTGTACCCACGGTACCTATGTATAT